CTTTTCCAGGGAATCTGCAGCCCCAAGCCCCGCCTTAGTTGCGTTAATAACTGGTGTAGTGTGCGTATTTATTTTTTGGCATGCGTAAATTCAAATAGAGTGTATGAAACTGCAATGAGCTTTATGTTCCAGCTGTCAGTCAAATATCATGACAGCTCCCATTGGCTCAGAGCTCCAGCAGGGCGGAGCCAAGTACAGTGAGTGCATCAAGGTGATCCATAAAAATAAATACAAAATCCATTGCCACACATAAACCAGTGAGATCCAACTGGCTTGTCCAAGGAATGTCCAAGGAACTGTACATTTTGATCAGACTGTGTTATATCATGGGTAGGTTTCAGTCACATGACATTTTCTTGTTATGGACACCATTTTAAGGACTTTTGGGCATTGAAAACATGATTCAAGGGATACACTAGGGTATTTTATCTTGCACAGTTAATTGCTATGGGAACTATCCTAATTATTTATCTCTTCACACATGGATGAGGTGTAGACATAGAGATTTAGATGAGAGCGCTCTGTAAGATTCATGCTTCATCCTGCCTGTGTGTGTGGGTGGAGAGACTATCTTTGCTCATTTCCTTACATGGACAGATTACAGGCCAAATATAGTAGAACAATGCAGCTCTTCCTTGACTTTTGGGTCTTTTCAGAAGCCCATCGTGTGCTCTGAGCTGTTAAACTGCAGCCGTGTGGCCTGGTTTGCCTTACTAGGACAAGCCAACATGGAGCTTTCTCCGTGAGCAGGAGGGTTAGTCAGACTCCCACTGCCTTTTCAAAAACCCCCAACATCCCTGTTACAGCATGGTCCTGTTGCCTAGCGACGGGCAGTCTGGAGGGAGAAAGGCGTCATGGATGTGTGTGTTCACTGAGAGCAAACACCGCTCCCGAGTGAGCCACAGTGTAATGGAACAGTTGCACCCAATGACAGTGGACAGGGAGAGACAGATGCTTCAAATCATTTATTAGACACATTTGTCTAGTTGGTAAACAACATACAGACTTGTTATGCTGTCTCTATAGATTCATTTCACCATAAAACATTTCAATCTAAAAAATGACATAAGACATAGTAAAGTTCATGGTCTTTTATTTGAAAAAAAAAAAAAAAAAGACTAGCATGTACAACTTGGAATGAATGTAAACTGGACTCAGATGGACAGAGACGATGATGCGCTGCGGACAGCTCACCTCGCACTGCCCTCGTCTGAGCCGACAAACAGAAGAAAAAGAAACGTGAAGGCCAGTGATTCTCTCTTGCAAGAAAAGAGGACAGACTCTCCATCTCAGCGAAAAGAAAAGTAAATAAAGCTCACCGTAAGACTCTTTAGTCCTCCCTCCATTAGAGGGCAGGACGCACAACTACTAAGATGGCCGTCCAAAACCATAACAAAAACAAAAGAACATGCCAAACATTTGAAAATTACAGAAGCAGTAAGCAGCCATGGATTCAGAACATTTCCTCCTGCTTTATAGATTTCCAGATAGCCAACCGTCCAGCTCAGATGTGTCCCTTCCATCTTTAAACAGTTTAAAACACTCCAAAACAGCATATCTAACCTGGCAATCTGATGGTCTAGCAACTTTCACATTTGGTCTCGGTTTTCCCCATCCTTTCTGCTCTAACAGAGGCTACTACAGTGTGTAGATAACACACAGGTAATGCCCCCGCACATACTGAAGTCTCATAACAGAACCATGATTGGTGCTAAACCATAGCAAGATACAACTACAAAGAAAAAGGTAGACTCCATGGCCACTCACGGCTTCTGTAGAAATGTATTTTTATACATAGATTTTTCTTTTTATCTAGCATATGATTAAGTCCCATTCCACTTTACGCTTGAGTTAATCTCTCATCTTAACAGTACAGGGTTCTGTCCAAATACAAAAAACTGTACCAAACCAACAAGAGGACAGCTTATAGTGGAATCAGCACGCTCTGTTCGCCCGGAGGAGTGGGCAGGGTTAGTGCTCCGGTCTCAAGCTGCATGCATGAACAACAGAAAACAAGAACAATGGCCAGCCCCGACATTTACCACGAGCAAATGGAACTGGAAGGAGTTGGCCAAATGCTTAGCTTTAGTCTGAAGGTCGTAGTTACAGGGTTGTTGTATTATTTCATTGATAAGTACTGATACTAAACTGAGCTCCGGGGGGAGGGGACAGGATCACTAACCATCATTTCATGCAGATATTTTTTGTATATTTTTATATTTTCCTGTGTGGACAGAAGGATATTTTATTTCAACATTCAATTATTTTCTATACAGAAACAGTATGAATAAATGAACATTTTCCCAAGAGGTAAGTAAAACATTTGTTTTTTTGTAGATTTTTTCTCTTTTTATTTTCTTCTAAGAAGGGACAGGACAGGGCGGGCAAGCTTCACTTTGCAGTCATCATCTGTACAAACTCTGCGGAGAGAACACAAGACAAGAGGACATCAGCCTCGGGAGCACTCACCTGATAAATTGTTAAACGCTTTATTAATTTTTTAATCAAGCCGAGCAGGTTCAGGACACATGCTAATTAATGTCTCTTTTCCAACACGGTTCCATGTTCATCTCATTAAACCCAATTGATTAAAGGCTGTTTACATGACACCGCCTTTCACCCAAGACAAACTATTCAGTTACATTTCAGCCACTGGTTTTCACAAGTGCCCTCCCCAGAAAATAGACCCCATTTATCTCTGTTGAAAATCTATTTTTGTTACTATATGAAAGGTGCCAACAGACTATTTATTCACGCAAGACTGAAATTCTGGAGTGGCCTCGATTTGTCATGGGGGTTCATTAATCAGGGTTAGATCATTGCTCCTTTCTGGGGAATACAACTACAAACTTTCTCCACTACTGACGAGGGACACAAGCACAAGAGTACTGGGTGTCCTATCATGTCAACAGTGCAAGCCAATTAAGTAAAAAAAAAAATCTTATTTTGAACTGTTGAATGCTTGAAATAAATTAAAAAAAATGAATACATGTATTTTAATATCTAGCATTAAAGGTGCATTATGTAACTTTTCTGGTGGAGGATTCATCAAATGGTTTTCTCCATTGAGATGCTATTGCGTTGGGATGGTTCACAGTATGGCATTACACCTTTCTGTCTTCATGGAGACCAAACCAGACCAAGTTACAGGTCAGGTCTGTGGAGAGACAACCCCGCTCTAGCAGAATGCCTGTTTTTCTTGGTATTTTTGAGCTATCAAACTACCTGTTATTGAATAAATGTAAGGTAGAGCTGTTTAATGTCATACTATAGAACATTCCAGACAGAGCAGTGACATATCCATAGAAACAAGCAGGTGACGGAGCCCCAGCCAAAAAGTTACATAGTACACCTTTAATAATATTTACATTTTCCCCTTTGCAACTGTGCTTAGTAAGCCTGTCTTGTCTCCTTTTGCTTTACGTCAAATAGAGAACAAGTATTAATCTATTACACTGAAGGCTTCTCCATATTCTGGCTGCAGTACAAAGGGAGTAGAGAAGTAGGACACGATTCAGCCAAGACTTATGGAGTGTTCATAATGTACCAATGAGCCTGTAGAAAATGAGCGCAGTCTCTTGTGTGAGGGGGAGGGACAGTCGAGAGCCCCTGGCAAACTAACAGGGATACTGGAAGAACTGTGTGCATATCTATAGCATTGTATTTAATAACGCAGATTGTACGTGGCTGGCGAGTCATTACCTTAGAGAAATAAATACCCTGACTCAATAAAAAACCTAGTAGACTGTTGTCCTTAAAGGTGCAATATGTAACTTTTCTGGCAGATCTTACATGTCAGATCTGCTCTGCTGTATTTTTGAGCTATAAAAAGTTAGTCTCCATAGATGCTAGATTTCCTTTGGTACATTCTCATTGGACCAATCACATTTAGGGAGAGGGGTTTTGCGAAGCAACATTTCTAGGTCAGAATTTCTTTCTTAATAGTTAAAATGGTGGCCATACTGAATTAACTGTTTGTATGTAACTGGGCTTTTGAATGGTCTATGTATTTAAACCACAGCATCTAACAGCTCTAAAATGTGTTAATTCTGTGTTATTTGATTTGAAAGGCTTATCTACCAGCTGTCTGTACATATAATAAAGGAAATAAACAGATTTTGCATTTGTGTTTGTCAGATTGGTTTCTTGTGCAGTAGAAATGCATAGAAATTACACTCAAGCTAAACCATGTGGCTCAGTGATAGCACAGCAGTGGATATACAAAAAAAAATGTCCTTTTTACTTCATAGATAGTCCTGTCAATCACACCTAACGGCCATAAAGCGAGCTGTGTTTATTTCCAAAGACTGGTCAATACTGATGCTTCACTGGGCAATGGCTGGTTATTTATTGATAAATTCTTTCCATTTGCTGTTTATAAGCGAACACTTTTCACTGTTCAAAAGATATAATAAGTGGTTTTGAATTGATAATTGCTACGGCAACAGCATTTTTCATCAATCTGAAAGCCATGTACAGGTTGCTTGCCATAGCCTTAT